CCCCCCCCGGGATCTAGAGAAGTATTACCTGCTGTAGAAAAGAAGCGACCAACTGTCACTTACATAGTTGTAATAAGTATGAATGCAAAAAGACAATTAAAAATAAGACATGAGTGTTTGAAAATGTCAATAGTGCAATTATGATGCTGTGAAACACTGGTCAGTGGGTGAGCAGGTACTGAAGGTGCAGAGTTGTAATTTGACCTTGTTGCGCAGCCGATGTGTTTCACAGCATCAAGGCTACCTCCAGAAACCACATCTGACTCTAGAAGTCATTGGGCAGTAAGTGGCTGGAGACTGAGGAGATACTTCAAGGGAGCATCGTATATGGTTTTTTTTATGGTTTTATACTCTTTCCTAGACATCTGATTGTAGCTGATATGGTGTGATTCAACGTAGCTGTGGATTTGTTCAATATGAACAGGGAGGAGAATGAATTTTTTACCCCCATCTTCCCTGTTTCTGCTGTGTGAATCAAGCAGCTGAGTGAGGTGCCTTCGGTCAGAAATGGCACATAAAAATTTCAAACCCAGACGGTTGTAGAAATGGATGAGTGCTCGTGAAAATGGGGAAAGAAGACAAGATTGAAGTTAGTGTTACAGCAGATGACTTTACATGTATGCCATAGAAGTCAGTGTTATTTACACATAAATATAAAAAGAATTGCAGTGAAAAGTGTTTAAGGTAATGAAACCTTGAATTTTAAATAACAAAAATAAAACAACACAGGAATTTATTCTTACTAATGATTAGAGATGTACATTTTTCACTTAAAAAAAAAAAAAAGGGTTTCAAGTTCTCTTTCCTTTTCATAGGTTAAAAGGGATGTAGGTACTCTGAAACAAAAGCCTGGCAAATAAAAGCTTTCCAGTAAATCTTTTAAGAATAGCTGTAGAATGTTCTTAGAAGATTTGTCAGATGATTTGAATTTTACTACAATAAGTGCAGACCCATCAAATTCTCTACTGCTTTCTCATGTGTGAAGTCATGCTATGATGAAAAACTGGTACTGCTTTCTGATACTAAAGTGCTAATGATTCCTTGATGTTTGGCATTCTAAGAGCCCAACTGAAAGGCAAATAACCACTATATATATATTAATTAACATATAAGTATATTCATTGTTTGAAATCAAATTTGATTTTTGCTATTTTTCTTTTTTCTTTTCAACTGCAATGACATTTTAAATGTCAATCCATTACAAGTGAAGGTTATAACCCAAAGTGTTTAAGTGAAAATGGATGATTTGACATCCTAGGAGCAACAGCCTCCTCCAGACTTTGTGCTTATGCAGGCTGTGTATTTGACAGCACTGAGAGTATGTTTCTTTAAAACTTGTAGATTAGTTATAGGGCTTTTTTAGATTATCTTTTCACTTTTTCTTGCTCGTGTAGAGAATTGTGTCCACAAAGGGCTTTTCATGTAATTGTTCTGTGTGATGGTGGTTCTAGTTGTTGTCCTGGAAGATCAGCAGGATTTTGAATTTCTTTTAGGGGAGCTTTCACATATACTTTTCACAGAAGTCCTACAGATTCTTGTATATCCAACATTAGTGGTTAATGAGGATTTTTTTGAAGATATCAATTTGAAAATAACTTGAGGCGGAAAAGGAGGGAGGATGACACACGGTGATGGTGTATGTGAAGAAATGTATTTTACTATATGTCTTTTGTTTGTAGATAGGCAATGCATTTGGACAAACTCAGAGAAGTTTTGGGATACATGAACAGTTCTTCAGCTTGTATACCTGAAATGTAGAGTGATGGATTTTTAAACAGGTCAGTTTGGAAAAGTTCCACTTAGAACCACGTCTTTTATGATCTGTAAGTCTGTAACGTGGAGACTGGATAGAAAAGTTCATTGTTTCCGGAGAGTGGATTCATTCTGATGGAGTATTCTGGAGAGGCTGGATTTCCCCGTTTGATGAAATCATATTGGAGTACGTTTCAGTCACTGCTACCTGGTCTGGAGATGTACAGTCCCTCTCTTAATTCATCTCTGGCAAGGGACCTAGTTAGTGACACCTATAGTATGTTACAAGTGAACAAGAGTTTCATGTTGAAGGATAAGTGGTCCTTGCATTTGCATTCCCAGTCACTACTACTAAGGATGGATTTGTTCCCTCTAAAATCTGAAATGAAACCGTTCTTAGCCTGTCTTGTGTTAGCTGTTTTCCTTGGTTGTCACTTCTAGTATGGAATGTACTGCATTTTGTATTTTTTTTTCTATACAAAATAGATGTTTTGGGAAAGTTGAGAAACTACTTGGTTGTTTTTTCTTTCTTTAATAGTATTTTACTTGAATTTTGGGTTCATATGAGCTGTGAATGATGGTTGGATTGAATGATGGGCAAAGCTTAAACTTAGAGTTAGTGCAGCTTCTTTTTGCCTTTTGTGATGTCAGTCCGCTTTTGCGGAGTGACTTGTTTGTAATGCTTGTGGTTCAATTAGTTACAGTTGTTCTGTAGAAGCTAATAAAACTTTGTTTAAAATAGAAATGAAAATATTTGATAAATACTGGAGATGAGGAGAAAGAAGGTATTTATTCTATTACTTAGAGTGATGCATCTTAAATGGCAGCAAGTGGTCTGTTCAAAGCTAATAGTACTAGTTGCTTTTAGTAAGCCATTGTGCAAAGCAAGGGCTCTGTTGATTGCCTGTCCTTACAAGCACAAATGATTAGTAGGAAATAGTGACTTCAGCATTGTAGGAGGTCATCACTGGAAACCTGTTACATGAAACTTTGTCAAATATTTTTATTAGCCATTTGACACGTATATATAATTAGAAAATTTAACATTCTGATTCAACTAATTTCCCATAATAGAACTCATCTCCCCCAGCATTATTTTGTTGGTTTACATGTTTTTAGCAATTGTTATTAATGTAGTAACACAGCTATAAATTTGGGTTTAAGTGAGTTGAGAAACCATTTAACTTTAAAATCAAGTTGATTAATTTTAAACCCTCTTGCAATCTCGATTTTTGCAGATTCAGTACAATAGGTTAGCATAAACACTAATGAACATTCAAAATCATTTATTCCAGTTAAAATCTATTCTGAATTTGTTATAAGCAAAACATATCTTAAGCCTGCTTATTATATGAAAATACTCTCACTGCTGTTCAGCAGAGCAGTTAGGTGTATGCATGTTAGTCATACAAGTACACAAAAATTCAACTAGACTCTCTGGTTGAAAGACAGCATCGAGAAAACGTTACAAATAGCATAAAGCATTCAATCTGTGTTTACAATGTTTAGCAGATAATTTTTATTAAATTCAGGCATAAAATTTTCATTCACCTTAAGTAAGCCAGAGATGGATGTCATTATGAGATTTACATACCATTAGCTCACATCAATTGATTAGCAGCCGAGCTCTGTGATGCAAGGCTGGTTGGAGACATTATTTGTGATGCCAGGAGGCTGCAGATCAAGGAGGTTTACTGGCTGCATGCTCATTTCCTTTGCCTTTGTGATTACTTGATAAAATGAAGTGCATCACTGTGAACAATTGACCCTTTCGAACAATCCAGACTGGTCAGCAGTCTAAATCCGCATTTTAAAGCCATCATTATAGCCTCAAACTTAAGAGTTTCCAGGGTGCAGACAAAGGTGTTGTCCTCCTTCAGTACCAGTCGTGTACCGTTTTCAGACTTTATGAAGTACTTGAATTGAATAATATTTGAAGATACTGAAAACTCCTCCGGAAATCCATCCAGCCTGCTTTTGGACACCAGTACAATTCTGGATTTTATTTTTGCAATGAAATCAGGAGCGTTACAAAAGATTCTAAGTCCTTGTGAACGGTCGTGGCTGTCAGTTATTTCCAGGAAAGTAGTCTCTCGAGATGCTAGCTGTTCCTTCTCCCACCTTGATTTCACTGCATCCGAGAGTACCTTAAGCTGGAAAAAATCTGCTTCTTGTGCCAAAAGTTGATTTTCTCGAAAACCTTCTGGTAGAAGAAGTTCTCCATTTCGTAGGAAGTTGAGAATGTGTCTGAAAAGGAGTCCATCTCTGTCTATGAAGTAATGACCGTCTGCATCGAATGGGCACATTATTTTTCCATTTATGATCCCTTCCAGAAAAGAATCTGGATACTTGGTTAGTGTCTGTTTTTGTGTGATATATAGATAGCCACCAACATTCAGAGTAATCAGAGACGTTTTATAGTCCTTGTCTTGCTCAGAACCTTCGGAGTTGCTGTGTTTTTCTTCACATTCCTTTTCTCTTCTGTTTATTTTTCTCTCCATTATCGAAGCTAGGACAAAAAGCCAGCTATCTTGCTTTGTTCTTGTCAGCTTGCAAAGAGGTGTTTTTTTGTTTGTTTGTTTTTATTAAAAAAGCACCTTTATTCAGCTCCGGCGCGATGTTGGAATGGGAATGCTGCTAGCATTACTCTGACTGTCAGCTCGGGTTTGCAGTAGGTGGCGTGTCAGCTGTGTATGCAGGGAGATAGCAGGAATATGACTGTCACGGAGAATTTGCATTTAACTGTATGAGGGAAGAAGGGTATAAGAACTCTTTGTCTCTTTCTTTCCTCTAAGTCTAAGGAGCTTATGTAGTTTTGGGGGTTATTCACAGAAACACATACTACTATTTTAGACGACACCTTATTTTTAATACTTTAAGATGTATTTGTAGTATCAGCTGGCCAAATCATGTTTAGTGCTTATGGTGTTAAACAGATAGCTTCATTTCTGTTTCAAGGATTTTAATTTTCACAAAGCCTCTTTTCACACCAATTATAGTACCTGATGCATACAGCAGGGCAACACTGAAAGGAAAGGTGTCCCTGTCTGTACGAGGAGGGTGTCATCTATGGAGTGCCTGCACGTTACATATTCCTCATTTATCGGGCACGTGCGCAGTGGTACGATGTTTTCACGGAAGGCACTCTGGAAGTGATGCTGAGGACTTGTTGGTCTGACTGTTGTAAGTTTGTAATGAAAGCTTCCATTTGCAGTCAATGGGAGTATCCGCACCAACACAAGAACTGCAGCCTGATCTGGTTGCGCTTTTTGCCTTTCTCTGTGCCACAGATAAAAACTGTTTTAGAGAGGGGATGTACCATTTATATTGGTGATGTTTTTTAAGTGACCAAGGCTATCTAGCATCAGTTTGTTCTTTCTCAGTAGAAACAACTCAGCTGCCCTGCGGAACAAAGGGTTAGTGTGCCTCCAGATAGCTTTGAACATCACATAACATTATAGCTTAGCAACACTTGGGTACGGGGAGGGGGAAAACATTGGCAGAACACGCTTGAATCAAACGGCTGTCTTCGCTCTGTGAATCTGTACTTTGAGGCTTGCTTTCGGTTGCCTCTTAGAAAAAAGGTTTCCCCTTTAAATATTTGCAGCTTGGAGCAGGAAAAAGAAGGCTCTTCACACATCTCTGTGTGGGTTTCCTTGGGGAGCGGGCGAGAGCTGCAGCATGCATTCCCCAGCACGGGCGGGAGCGAACACTTACCTTGGGCTGGACCTGGAGGGGAGGTCCCAGCTTTTTCAAGATGTATTTTTCACTTTACAGGTAGATGTCTCCTCCTTTGCCTGATTAGCAGTAAAAAGTCAGATTATTCTTCTGTGAATTCTTCTGCTCTCTTTCTAAATATTTTATTCCTACTAGTCCCACTGCCTCTAAGGCTGTTTATTGATACTGTAGAGTCATCACTATAATATTTTATTAATTGATAACTGAATCTAGTAGAAATAAATGCACTTCTTTTTTACTTGCTATTCTCCTTGCCAGGGTATCCCTAACGCTGATATGCTAAATTTTTCTGCTGCTGCTGTACGTGATATATTAAGCAGATATTATTCATTAGATTTGATTTATCAGGAATTAGTCATGTTTTTAATTTTAACTCTTTGATGCCATTGATATGTTTAGCATAACTTCAGTCAAAGAGATTTCAACCAGTTTCTAATTTTTAAACATTTGAACTTTTTTCAAAATCAACTCCTTTCACAATTATTAAGTGAATAATTGAGAAAATGAGAGCACCAATTACCTTCAAGTATGATTTTTTGGGGGGGGGGGTTTTTTTTCGCCCCCCCCCCCCCCCCCCCCCAGCAGTGTTAGCTGAAATCATACATTTTACGGGAGACATTGTTAAAATTTAGTTTACAGTCAAGTGATGGAAAATTCAGTTAATATGCTTAGATCGTACATAGCTACAGTGTTGAACCATCTTAGTGGCTGTTATACCCTAAGAGAATGATTTCTGTGGTGCTTTCATCTTACACGGTGATCTTGAAATACTTTGAAGCTGAACTAGGAATGTCCTGGCACAAGTAAGTAGAGATTTCCAAAGGGAGCTGGGATTTGTAAAAGATAGGAAATTTTTTCATGGCCAGCTAAGCTGTGTACATTTTGAGAGACAGCAGTTACAGAACAGTATCTGCTCACTTAGTTTTTATGCTTACCATCTTCTCAATGTTCTAACACTTGCAGTTGAAATTTTCCACTTTTGTGAACGAGTAAGTATTCTTTGAAAGATCACGCAAAATCATTTTAGTGGCTTGTATGATAAAATATTCAAAATCGATTTGATGTAGAAAATATACTCTGTGGAGATCATGAATATTTACATTTAAACCTTTGAGACTTAAAAAATGCAGAGCTGCTGTAAAATTTTCATTAGCACAAACCCATGTAACTTTACTTCACTGCAGCTGACAGTCATCTGTAACACAAAATTAAAGCCTGGCATATCTTTGTGAAAATTTTCCACTTTCTGTGCCATACTACAAGACAACTTTTCCAAAGAGCCCTCGTTCTTCCTGCGCACTTGATGATGCATACGGTATTGCAGCACATGTAGTGTTAGTGGAGTGGTGGTTTCTATAGCTCACTGTTTTCTGAAAGTGTAGCTATGCCTGGAGGAACTGGATTTCCTTTTTTCTGCCCTTTTGTCCATACACTGGAAGATCATCCAAAAGTTCATTTTGGTAAAGGTATGCAAGACAGCTGAGATGTACCCAGTGCATCTGGATCTTCTTGCTTCCCACTTCGATTGAGACAGAGCAACTGGGTACTCTGTGCTATCTCAGGCTGTGAGTGAACTGTCTGTTTCTGCCCTATCAGGCTGAAGTGTCCTGCTTGCCAATGTTGGTAGCTTGCAACCCTGAAGCGACTGCTGCTTCACAAATTGTTAGCGTCATCTGTATACTGGGATTGACCATTCAAGTAAGGAATAGCACTGAAATCCAGCAATTTAAAGGATATTGTTTTGGTTCCAGATTAAGTCAGAAAATATTCTCAGCACTCTTGCACACACTTGAGAGAGTGGCTGTAGTAGTAGTACTCCATTTCCAAGTTACTCTCCCTTTGGGCTGCACCAGGAGGGCAATCCACAGAGCTTTTCAGTTTCTTCTCAGTCAGACAAGTCATCCTGGTGACAGTGAAAATTCAGTGCTGGTGTCTATCAGCTGCACGGGAAAACAAATCCAAGGAGTGGGGGGCTAGACATTCTGTCCTGCATGTTTCTTTTTGGAAAGTAACCTCATTCCTCCTGAAATTGCATCCTCCTCTTCCACCTCCTAGTCTGGAAGCTTGAGCACACCGTGGAGCTGGGGATTCAGGACTGGAGCACACCACAAGAAAGTTGGTGTTTTACCAATGGTTCAGCTTACTCACATGTCCAAACAGCATCAGGTTCACTGAGGGCCTGCTGTCAGTGAAAATGACGTGGGTTACAGAAAACAGCTACTTTTCTTTATTACAGTACAAAAGGACATGAAGAGAAATCTCAGCTATAAGAGGTAGAGAATTTTTGAAGTGTACTAGGAAGCCGTGCTAATGAAATCTGTTTGGGTTATTGAGGCAATTTGCTAGTCATTTAATGTCATAACACAGAAAATTGGCCAGGTTGTTGGACAATTAAACCATTCAATAACTACTATCTCACACTGTTGGTAACATAGACATTCTCATGCCAGTAACAACTCCAGGACATTGATTAAAAGCTATTGAAGACAAGCTGTACAGAGTAATTAAAATTGAAGATTTTCAAATCAGCAAGTCTGAACAATTTGCATTCAGGAGTTTTAGAAGAGCTGTCTAGGAAATTCTATCAACAGATGCTGTTGATGTTTTTAATAATTTTTGAGCACTGCAGTTCTACAAGACTGAAAAAGCAAATGCTGTACTGGTATTTGAAAGGTGAATTGGATGGCCCAGGTATTTAAAAATGAAAAGAGACTGTACAACACCCAATAAAACATCTGACTTGGAAGTTAATCAGTTAAAAATTAAGGTCAAGTAATATAATGCTAATCAATGTGGGTGGAGGGAAAATGGATTGTGCCAAAATTTTTTCCCGTTTTTTTTTATTACAATTTGTTCAGCAAAGCAGGTGATGCTTTTTTCTGTTAAATCTTTGAGTATGTCTCATTTGTAATTTTGAATTAGAATATATACTGTATTAGTTTCCCTTTCATTTAACTGTACAAAAATTATCTGCACACTTCAAACTGGCAAATGTTAAGCACAGAATTATCACTCAAATGTTGCTGTGATTTGGTTCTTGGTCCTATTTATTTTTAGTCAGTGATCCATAAGGAGATAGTTTCTCATGAAGTTTGGAGTTGATACAGACTGAGAATGTAATCAATAAGGAGATACATTACTGATGCAGAACCATTTGAATAGCTGGTTAGGTTAACTTTTTAATATGACGAAGTTTATATGCCCAGGAATACACTGTAGACGGGGCTTGCAGTACATATGTTTGTGGGAGGGTTAGGACAGAGGCTCTGTCCTACGTATAATGCATCATTGACAACTGAACATGAGGTCATCATTCTGTGCTATGGTCAGTAAAACAAACGTAGTATGTATCTTTGGATGCCGAGTGAAGACCAGGTGATCCTGTTCTCTAACTGTGTAGCTACCAGGGACAGGTGGTCTGAGAAGGGCACCAGCTTTGAGGCTGCCCTTTGAATGGAAGAGAGGTGCCACAGAATGCCTGTGGTCTGGAAGAGCAGAGCTGAGGTCTAGCGTAGGAGGGGGCTGCTCCATGTCCAGCCATCACATGCAATAGCCTGGGAAGCTGCACAGCGGTGTAAGTGGACAGCGGGAACTACCAGGGCTTCCAACTTGGACACTGGGAAGCAATGGCCCAACTTCTACCTGCTGAGGACCTGGAGGCACACATGCCCATAGTCTGTCCTTACTGCGCTTTCTTCCACTTTTTCCTGCTGCCTGGGAATCGTGCGTCCTGAGGCAGGTCTTCATCTCCTCCTTCCCTGGCACCGCTCACAACGAGCAGGAGCTGGTGAATTCCAGATCTTGTCCCACATGCTGTCAAGTCTGGCTGTGAGAGACAATGTCTCGGGAGAGACATTCATGATCTGAACTTTCTCAGGCCAGTAAGAATGATTAAGAAGCTGAAAAATAAGCCTAATGGAAGATTCAAGAAAACATGATTT